AAATAGTACTTCTTCATAAGCTATTTTGAGATAATCTGATCTGGTTTTTAACCTAAGAAAGTTGTTTATTTCATTGCACAATTTTTCCATAATTTCCATAGTAATTTTGACCATTTCAGTCCAGTACTCTTGTTTTGAGATTACGCCTTTCCCAACATTGTAAGATAGATCACATTTCTCATAATAGAAATCTGGACAAGTGAAATATAGGGAATCAGTATCACCATATTTTATTCCAAAACCTTTCTTTTTCACGAATTCTGCAACGAGTTTGATATTTTCTCGCTCAGCTGAAGTAACACCCCCAGCGAGTTCAAGTATATAGAATGGGAAGTCACTTTGGCCAATTACACCATAAAACGAATTCATATACAATTTAATGGCTTTCTGCTTCGAATTTAGAGAATTATAATTGAAGCAGATAGAATCATATTTTTTCCTAAAATCATCATATAATGAATCAATGAAAGTATTCAGGATGTCAGCTATTTCGGCATGCTTCTTAGGTTCGCTTTACGAACAAACATCTTCGATTGTACTTGTTATTGAGATAGATCCGCCAGCATCTATTCTACTTTTAACTATCCCATATATTCCTTTTTCTTTCCAAGAGGTTTTAGCTGGACCTTTAGTTTATTCTGTATATTGTGTAAATTTTTCAATATTTTGGAAATAAACCTTTCTGATCAGATTTATTCTCATGCCGTATAGTCCAGGCTCACACAGGTTTACTACCATACTTGAACACAATACTGAAAAGCACTTTATTTTCTCTCTTTAGTTAATCTGCTTCTGAAAGTGTTGAGACCATCTTCTCAGGCGAGAGGTTATAGGTCATGATTATGCTAGGGTATAAGAAAGTGAAGTCTAAACCTGTGACAGAACATTTATTTTCAAGACCTTTTTCTGGTGGGAACATATATGCTTCTAAAAACTTCCTAGATGTTTTCTGATTGGAAATTTTCATGGTGTATAGAATATCCTGCACCTAAGCTTCAACGCCTAAAAGATTAGATAATTTTGTTCCTATAGCATAATAATGTGAGTCAAATAATGATATATGAGCGATTGAGGCCACCTCTTTATAACATTAGATTTGACCATGAGCTCCTGACAATGTAAAGCATTTATAACACAATAATTTACGATTTCATGCATATGTTTTTTGGAAGAATCGGAAGTCCCATCCCTTGCTTCCGAATAATACTTCCATAATTTGCTTAACGATATATTAGCTTTACCATCGAGACCACACTTTTCTAAGAAGAATTTGAGTGATATTTTCTCAGAGCGGGGGTGGAGTTGCATAAAACTTATACAAATATCGATCAGCATGCACCTGGGAAGTTTAAGAAAGGATGATTCGAAATTCAAAGTGGGATTGATTTTGATATTGATGGAATTTCAGCCTAATATTTTTTTAGGACCCTTGTCCACTTTCTTTACCCATTGGCTTCTTTGGAAGAAACCATTAGTTAGAGGTTCCCCTCTTCCACCAAAATAATTCCAAGTGAGGATAGATTTATCATCAGCTTTCTTATGTGGGTTTGCCAACATTCGCTGAACCATCCACTTGAGAACATTTAATTTGGTGGCCTTTTCTACAATAAAAGGCCAATCATATCCTGAATCGTTAAAACCAAGCTGGATGTCTGGGGTAAAAGATTTTCAACATAGAGTGAATGCCTTTAAGAGATTAGTCTAATTTCCACATATGATTATGATCCCGCGTGGGTCTGGTTTTGTTTCTACATCTACTAAACATATTCTTTCTAGAGAAATCAGATCATCTTTCCAGTGTAGGGTCATACAGATTGTAAAAACTTGAGATATGTCATTTTTTGCTTCTAGGAAGTTCCCTGATTCACGTGAATTGTATGTTTCTATGTCTCTTGTTAGCATCAATGCTCAATCATGGGCAAAGAGAAAAGATTGATAGATTTTATAAAGTGGTTCAAAATTGTCTATGGGCGAAACTTATCAATATGAACATAAAATGCATATGGACAGTGATGAGATTTCGCATAATAAGATGCACTGAAATTATATCTATAATCACTTATTAATTTCAAACCGGAAAGTAATATCTGATACTCTCTTGCAACTTTACAATAATATGTGCCTGTATCGTCTGAAGCTGTCTCTATTTTACATTCAGGATCAATCTTTGAATTATTGTTTAAGATGATATCAAGAGCAGTAAATCTTAAATCTTTATTGGGTATAACAATATGGAAATATGGCTTTTTTTCTGCATGATAATCACGAATAGGATACCACCCCTACAATAAATTACTGGAATCAATTATCTAATAAATGGCGATCAAAAAAATTGACAATTTTAAAAATTTTATTTAACCAATTTTTATTATTTAATCTATAAAAAAAATAATATCTATAAAATATATAATTCTATTTTTATAAAATACAATTTAAGAAATAAAAGTCTAATATTTAGTGTGTCCACCTTTAGCTTTAATAATACTCTTAATACGATTAGGCATATTTAAAATTAAACGGCGTAAGACTTCGATATTAATATTTGCCTATTCCTCTTATGTAACTCTAATCAATTCTTTTTTAGATTTAGGCAAAGGTTTCCTTTTTCGTATTTGATGATTTAAATAGTCCCACAAATACTCAATTGGGTTTAAATTTGAACTTTGCGCCACCTAATTTAAAACCAAAATTCCATAAGATTCCATCCACCAAGTAGTATAAGAAGAAGTATAATAAGACGCACTATCCTGTTGAAAAATTAGGTTTAGATAGTTACAAGCCCAAGGGATAAAATTATTTGAAAGAACATTTATATATTCTTCTGAATTTAACGTTTGTTCTACTACAACTAGAAGGCCAACACTATACCATGAGAAACATCCCCAAAACATCACAGACCCGCCGCCAAATTTTAATATAGGTTGAATACAGTCATTATTATAAGCCTCTCCAGCCCTACGTCATACTCTTGCACAACCATCTGACTTAAAAAGAGCAAACCTTGATTCATCTGACCACACAATATTTTTCCATTCCTCTTGCCAGTCATGTTTTTCCTTGCACCAATTTAATCGATCAATTCAGAGTTTTTTAGTTAAAAGATGTTTTTTTTTTGAAACACAATTTATAAGCTTCATTTTATATAAATATTTGTGAATAGTATTTAAATGATAATTAGTAGAAAGATCATTATTTAACTTATTTGTGACTTCACCAAGGGAAGAAAATCTATCTTTATAAACAATCCTTTGTAATGAACATTTTTCACGATTAGATAAAACATTTAGCCTTTCAGAATGTTTATTAGGATGTGAAGAACTAGTTTTTTTATAGCAATTAATAATATCATATACTATTGAAGGAAAAATCTTAAAATTTGATGATATTTTTGAACCATTAGTACTAGCAATATAGACACCAATAATTCATTCTCGCTTTTTGCTTATCAACTCTTTTCTGTGCATCCTTTTGGTTAAAGAAATCCTTACAAAAAATTATTTTTTTATGTATAAAATTAATAATGGCGTTTATTACCAAAAAAAGAAATATAATTATTTTTTAAGGTTTTTTGAAAAACTAAGCCATCGTGACGATCAATTTCCGGTAATTTATTGTAGGGGTGGGTATGTTTTTATATATTTCATTCGGACTAGATTTATATCTACAGTGCCTTCCTTGTTATCTTTTCCAGTAGTGAGTATACCTTTTATTTTAAACCAGAATTTGGGGATACTTGCATTTTCAGGAACACAGATATCAAAAAATACCTTGATATCAGTAATGGTGACAACTGCTTTCTGCCATTAACGAGATATCCATAGAGACGAAGAATATAATAGGGATTTTATTAATATATTCTTTAGCTTCTTCTATATCAACTGGCATGAATGGAATATCTTGATGATTTGCTATCTCATCTTTAAGAATTGAAGTCAAACCCTCATCATTTCTCATAGCCAATTCATCACAAGATGGGATACCTACCAAGTAATTCTTATTAGAATAATGAATTATTTTAGCATTTTTATCTTTTTCAGCCTCTGGGTAAAAAAGGGTGGGGCGTTGAGAAACTCTAAAACTCAGATTGTGTCATTTTTTCTCAAGCAATTTAAGATAATTTATAGTTATACAAAACTCAAGGTATAATATTAGTAATAAAAAACTTTAAAATAAAATTAATTAACTAAGATTATTAATCAATATACAAATGGGAGGTGAAAAAAAGGTGACACCCTAATATTGTATAATTGTCCATATATTCTTAGGACTGAAGAAGTGTGTAATCAGAAATGCTATCATCCAAAGGGATGTAAAGTCCATCAGAATTCTTGGCAAATTTCTTGCAAACAACTCAGATGTGAGAAATAGACTAGAGGCAGATATGGATATTGTGATCCACATACAAAAAAATTAGAGTAAATGAATACTACCATCAGAAAAGACTGACTGAGCTGGCTAAGCTGGATGTGTGTGGATTTTATAATCCATATGCAAAGAAACATAAGATAAAGGAAGAGTATCATCAGAAAAAGCTGACTGAATTGGCTAAGCTGATTAAGGGAGGTGATTCAGAATAAAAGTTGTCACTATTCTTATGGCTATTTTAGACACTGAAATTTCTTGTCATAAAGAAAAAAAATTCTTTGTGACGCTCTTTATGACACTCTTATATAGCTAATTCATATTTTTAAAGCCACTGAAAGGTTTCTAAATAGGTGTCACAATGACACTAAGAGTTACGAAGAAAATCAGACTTCTTAACTTTTTTATTTTTTTATTTTTTAACATATATGTATCATATATATATTATATATTTATCATACTATATCCCATATAACCATAAGGATAGCATAGAAAATTTTTATTTTTTTTCCTATAACTTTACTTTTTCTTTGTGACTCTTAGTAACAAAGTGACAGATATAAAGGAAGGTAGTCTAGCATCTCCAAACTTTAAAAAAAGCATATAAGGGTATCACAGAAAGCGTTATGAAGAAAAAAAATGAAATTTCATAGTGCCAGTATCATTCTAATGAAGGGGTGATTTGTAGACTAGAGTTATACCATAGAGCCAGGCAAAATTAATCGCAAATACATCACGTCACCCATCGCCTCTTTTTTACACCATTCCAGTATTTTAAAAGGCAATCAAATAGACGCAAAAAAGAAGTATCCTCAATATCTTAACAGGCCACCAAACAGGTCCAGAAGTAGGTAGATGAATGGATAGCTCTTTAGGAATAAAAAAATACAGAGCAATGTAAACACATAAATAGTTCCTTAATGAAAGAAAGGTCATAGATAAGCGAAAAAATACATTCCATCAGATTATAACACAACTGTTAGATTATATAATAACAACACTAATAGATCATAACACCACTGACCTACCATAATAATATATAGCAGGAATTAAATAAAATAGTAGATAAAAAGCTGTAAAGATAATCAAACTATAGATTATGAAGCTACATATAGAATATGTCATCACGTTAGATTATGACATCAGGTTATAACGCCACCACTAGATCATGACATTAGATCATACAACCACTATTAGATTATATCATCACCATAAGATTATATCACCACCATTAGATTACATAATCACTATCATAACTATTAGATTATATCACCACCTTTAGATTATATCGCCACCATTAGACTATGACAGCGATGACATAACCTAACTCAAGTCACTAGAGGTTATTTGATATAATTATATTAAATAACCTCTGACAACTTACCACTATAATCCCTTTGGTATAATTTTCAACCCAGTGTGAATTTGTGTTAAACCTAGATAAATATGTCACTACCTGAGTAGACTGCCACATTACTAAACTGCATAGTAAAGTGCATGATACCCATCATTATTCACATTCATCACTACTACTAAAAAGAGAGTCAAGAATAATCTAAGATAATAGCCTACACTATAGTTGCCTCACCTTATGTCAAAATCTCTCTAAGAATCAAACTCAGGTCTCTAAACCCTAATTGTGATATAGACACTATGATAATTAAAGACAATGCAATATCAATCACCTATAACCTGTGACTATTGTTCAATTCAAGTTATACAATACTTACCATTGATCTTACCCTCACAAGTATCATTTGCAGATAATATAACACTTGTTTATTACAGATCAGCCTCTTAATATAGGTTTTAAATCCAATCAGTTCAAGTTACTTATTATAATTATCTATTATCCGAGTGGTATGTAGATGAAACAACCTTACATAGCTTATGCTTAAGAGCTACAATTCTTTATATAAATAATTATTAAATAGTTATCTTATTCTACAATTTTGTGATCTTTAATATACATAGCTTGTATGTATCCTATAAAATTCATTTTCTGTAAATTTATTTATTATAATCTGCCTTAACTAGGGACTGAATTAGAGTGAATCTATTGTAGTTAAGGTTGCTTGTCTAAACTCATTTTGGATTTGGCAAAACAGTAAAACCTTTAGTTTCACTAAATTTTTACTAAGTGTTTGATATAGTTTTGCCATTTTTATAAGCTTTGATATAGTTTTACCTTTTTCCAAATTTTGCAGATTTTTTAATAAGTTTTTAATATAATTTAACTAAGTTTTACTTTTACCATTTAGACGTCTGTCTAAACTCTTAATTTCGTCCAGCAACTTTAATTGTAGTATAACCTATAATAAGATCTCAGTTGTTACCAACTAAGATAGGCTAATAATTTCCTTTCTAAAAATTTTTTTTTAATGATGTGATACTGCCAGTAACTTTATTATTTCTCTTCTAAAAAAATTTTTTTTTTTATAATATAACACTACCAATAACTTTATTATTTATTGAGAAAAATTACAAAGTAAAAATTAATACAAAAATAAAAGAAAAAGTATTAGCTATCCCTTGTGATTATATTTCAAATCCATTTGAATCAACCTATTATCATCCTATTTCTTCAACAACCCTACTAGATATATACCTAATGACTATTGTTATCATCTTGACTCCTTTATTCATTCTTCATCAATTACCTTAAAAATTCTTTTCCCATTTTACGACTACATTTTTGATCAAACTTATGAAATTATATGGAAATCAAGATGCAATACTACTATAGAAAAGAATATTCTCTCAATATTTCCAAATACAGAAAAAAATAAAATTACAGCTCATCAAACAATTTCTTTATCAATAGATTTGCTAACACTATTCCCTCCAATTCTGATTTAAAATATGATCACACATCTCTAATGACTAAATCATACGTATATGATTGAAAATCGTTTAGTTTCTTAATGCAGTAATAACTATTTGTCAAACGTTTTCCTCTTTTTTAGTTGAGTGAAGATGGTAATTCTACTAGTGATTATTATCAGAGCCTGACGGGACAACCGGTTAGTCTAATTGGAGTTAGTTTACTAATAATGATTATTAGGCATCATTTTTTATTTTTTCTACTTTTATACCCTTCTTTGGGATTTTCATGATTTTTTAACTGATTATGAATATTTTATAATAAATAAATGCATTACTGCGTCTTTAAAAAAAAATGACTATTGTTATCATAAAAGAAAGAAAAAAGAAAGAGTCATTGTTTACTTAAAAATCTGAAAATGCATTGCTAAACTTATTTGCCTAATTATTGAATTCATGATAATCTATAGGAAATTTTAAAGATTTATTGATATCTTTTTTAAATTTATCATCCTTAGTAATACTAAGAGAGCGTTTTTTATTGATCAATAATTGATAGCAATATTACCAAATATCTTCATAAAGTGATCTCATAAAAAAAATGATAAGTTGTATTATAATAGAAAAACAGTTATTGCAGTTTTTCGTAACTTTATAAATAAAATCAACTAAAGAAGAAAGAATTCTTAAATTGATGATATCAAGATAACTGTTAATGCTAGAGGATAGAAGAGCAAAAATAATATCAAAAAAGTTTAGAAAATCTGGAAGAAGAAAAATCATCTGATCAGAAAATTTTTTAAGAGAGTCAACCAGATGGTCTTTTGTTTTAGTAATAATATTTGTGAATAAGTAGGGCATAATCAAATATAATTTGATGATTCAGATACTATATTATAACTAATGCAATTTCAATTTTTGTAAAGGTTAAGGTGTAGACGCTCTAGTTTATTGAAAACTGAGAGTTCATTACTGAAATTCTTGATAATGAATATTTTGAGACCAGAAGAAGCAAAGAAAGTGACTATTATAGATGATTTCAATAATAGAATATTTTATATCACAAATCAGTTTATTGAAGAAGAGCTAGTGAGAAATTGTATGTCCCTATTTCTATTTAGAGAAAGAAAATCATCGAAAGTTTTTGCAGAAAGAAGGTGTTTGATAAAGCTTTTAATTAAGGATGGGTCCGCAAATATGCAATTGCGGAATAATTGCGATTTACGATATTGCGGACAATTGCGGAAATTAAGGTCCGATTCCGTAATTTCGGCCA